ATCTCATAAAATAAAATATATTTCTTAAATTGTATATTTATAAGATGAATATATAAAATAGACTATTTATTATCATTTAATCATTTTCTATTTCATAATTCTATTTAGAAAAATCATTTGAAGTTTCAATATATATGTATAATCTTATATAATTTACTGAAATCTTATATTTACATTATTTATTATTAATAATTTCTTTTGATTAAAAAAAAGCTTTAAATTTAAGAGGATGATTTTTATCTTAAAATAATAAGTTAATTATAAAAAAACTAGCATACATTATTGCAATATTTACAGTGTTAGTTACAAATTATACTATATGAAAATGATTTTACATTGCAGTGATTATTACAAAAGTAATATATAACTTTTAGGCACTTCACTAATTTTATTAAAATGATTAATTACTATTTCTTCTAGTACTAGTAGAAAAATATGCTCCTGATAAAATAATAACTCTTTTAATATATATGAACTCATATAATATTCAATTTGATGATATTTCTCAAATTCTTTAAAGTTTTTTTATTGCAATTCTATTTGATGATAAGAAGCCTACAGTCATTTCCTATACTAATTTTAGAGATATGATACTATTTACCAGGTATCATGTCATAGGTAAACTGAATAAATACTGAAAATCATAATATGTTTTATAGGTCACTATTGGATGCTTAAAACAATAAAGTATTTATTATTGAGATGCTGAAAAATTACAACCAAATTTTCACATAAAATTTAGATTAAAATGTGAATCAGAAAATATAATTTGCTGATTCCTGATATACTAGTGATAAGGAATCTTCTTATACTATCTTCTGATAGTTATATAATACATGTAATTATAACATTTAAATATTATTGAATAATTTACATATATTATTAATATTAAAAGAATAGTATAATAAACAAATTTATATAGAAAGTCCTATAGGTTAACCTTAAATTGATAGAGTTCTTTCAAAGAAGTTTATAAATATAAGTCTTCTTTAACTTTATAGTTTTTAATAAACATACTATTTTATACATTCAACCTTTTTTATTTTTATACAAGGATCTAATTATAATATTACATAAGTTAATTGTAATTAATCATTTATTTTTCTTAGAAAAATTCTTCAAGATGATTGAGATCTTAAGATATTAAGTTTGTTAGTTTAGTTTCTGTATAATCTCAGATTTAACAATGGTATCTTTTATAATCTTTGACAAGTATTCTTTAGAATAATATGCTTTAAGTACTTCTAATTTTTATTCTTTTGATTACTTATGTTCTATTAGAAAAATATGTTAAATAAGTGATTTTTGATTGTATTCAAAGCATTTACTATACTATTCTGCTACAATATATTAAGTAACTAAAGTAAATTTGTTTAGAGACCTTCAGCTAATACTAAAGATTAGATAATAAATCTTCACTACTTGATGATTCTGTTTTATAGTTTCTGCCCATATCTTATACTATAGAATTCTATCCCAATCATATTTAATTTATAATATAATATATTTTTAAGTATATGTTAATCAATATTTCACTTACAAAATAAAATAATCATTTGAATCTTTTCATCAAAATGAAGCTAATGAACAAAATATCATTAAAATATATCATTAATTATGATAATATTGTTTGTTATAGTTTTGGTTTAAGGAATGGAATTTGGGATAGGATGGGATTTATTCTATACCCACATAGTATGGTAACAAGTATAATCTGTTCAATTTTTCTTGATTCTCATTTTCGGGAAAATTATTACAAAAGGAAGAGATAGAGAGAAAAACGTGAAAAGTAGTTTATCAGTTGTTTAAATAATTATGACAAGATATTCAGAAAGTCTTACAATTAACGGCATAAGGAACGTAAATTGATTTCAGAAATTGATGATTTATTAAAGCAACTTTACTATTTCAGGGTTCTCCACTTGGCTTTTGAATCAATTTTGCTTAGCTACTTAGTTTTTTGCTACTTGGCCCTATCAAATTTTGCCATATAATATGCTAATTGGCTTTGATGACTTTGCCACTTGGCTTGGATAGTAAATCTCATTTATGGAATTTGAATATTATTTTAAAAAATAGTAACCATTATTATTATTGTAATTTGGGAGGAAATAATCGAACGATAACAAAAGTTTATTATATTCAATATTGGCGTCATGTTTTCATGCTTTCAATGTCCGAAAAAAATAAAGTTTTCTATTTATGGTTAACTTATCTGCCACAAACGTTCATTTTGAATAATTTAAATAGAAAATTCATGCATTAATTATCACATGCTAAACTGCAATCTTTACGGCAAAACCATTTTTGGAACTAACGAGTTGGAAGAGGTAAATTTTTAATTAATTTTTTTTTTTTTTTTTTTTTACAAGAAAATTGAGTACGTTGATGCTTCTCGTTAACTAGCTGTTGTTTCAAAATTTGTAAATTGTATTAACATTTAAATATTTTTAATTATGGTTAATCCAACTAAAAACCTTTTTTTTTGACAAGATAAAAAGTAATCTTGTAAAATTGCGAATGGTATTAATAATGAGGGATCGACATGAATGATTGACATAAACTTTTGTTATCGTTCGTTCTCTCTTCTTCTCAAATTAAACCTTCAATAAAAATTAATAATTTTCTTCCCTCCCTCACCCACTTTTGTTATGACTCCTTCCGTGCGTTCGCTGGAGATTTCGAAACTGACTTCATTATTAACAACATTTTGGATAATTTTACATCGGGACAAAAAAAAAAAAATAATAATTAGAGGAGTTGATTAATATTATCTTAGTTACTTAAATATCGTGACAATAAAATTATAGGCACGTGAAAATCGCCTTTTGTTTCAATTTATTGTATATTATTCAAGTATTATAGAAGAAGCCATGATTAATTCAAGGGTGCGTGTTTGAGATCAATAGCACATCATTTACATGTACAGAGCTGGAAAGGTTTTCTGAAGGAGGAATTTTAACATGATAATGGGAGGGTCAAAATTACGCCATATGATATTCAACCTTCGTAATCTCCATAAGATCCTGTGATTAACTGTAAGAAGAAGTTACAAATTTAAATGATTTATATCGAAAATCTAGATGTTTTGTAACATAAAAAAGGATTTTTCTCTACAATTAAAATATTTTTGTTATTACATATGAATTTAGAATTTAATTGGTTTCATTTGCTATTTCTAAATTAAATGCAATACTACATTCAGCTAAAATCTCTTCATTTTTAATAAATTGTATCCAAATCTTCGTTTTACGAATAATTATATGAATTTTTTTTAAATTGATATCAAAAAATAAAATTCACACCATCCAATATAAAGATAATAGTTACATAATATATTTCTTCACATCATGGGAGAAAGCAATGAGCTGAATGCCAAACTTTTATTTACCAAATTTCGTTCATTTATTTATTTAATACATTTACGAAATGAGAAGGATATTTCAAGAAAATGAACCGAGTTTGAAGGATTTCATTAATCAGCTATTTTTGTCATTTATTTTTGTATTGGATCTTTATCATTCTTCCAAATATAAAATAATTTAATGCTCTAAATATTGTACAATATCTAAATATAAGATTTTTCAATGGAATGATCATTTCACATACACAATTCTCCATTTCAAATCCTTACTTTATAATTTTAACAAATATTACCAAATATTAAAAATGGGTATATTATATTTAATTGTATTCGTACGATTTATAGTTTATTGATATTTTTGTGTCGCTTATTGCATTTTAGGACATGCCTTATTATTATTTACTAAAATGTCTAAATAATAGCTCGCATCTCACATTTTATTTTTGGTAATTTACATTAAATTGAATATTTGCTTTAAAATTTTTAACAAAAAAGACTAAAATTGATTAATTTTTTAGCACCACCTCTGTTTAAAATATATCTCGGAAGTTGCGCCTTACATTTATTTAACACACCAAATCCGAGTGGGGCGTTTTAAAATAGACCATTTACAACGCAGTGTAAGGAAAATGTATAAAAACGAAACAATAAATATGATTCTTGCAAGCTTGCGATAAACATAAAAAAAAGGAATAATATTTTCCCATATAAATATTGGCTTACATCATTACCATTAAAGTTGGTAGGCAAATTTATTAGCCGAAAGGCAATACGAAAAATTTAGAAATCAATTAACATATTTGGAAATAAAAAAATCATGCTATTGTATAAGTCGATAAACATTTTTAAGTTTTTTTGTTTTATTTTTTACACGCGAACAACCTTTTTTTCCTTTATAAAGAACAAAGAAGCGGACAAGTTTTTGAGCACATCTTTCTCATAGTATCTTATACAAAATTATGACCTGTACTTTTCTTTTTCATAGCCTTTTCACAAAAAAAGATTTTCATAATGAACCGTGCTCACCTTGAGTAAACTGTCATGGCCTTTATCTTCTTTCAGCGAGAGACTATCTTCTAAAATACTTTACTCTTGCCGTAGCTGATATCTGAATTTCAAATCTTAACCTGCTGGTAAATCTCTTTATTCTTTTTCTTTAATGTAGTACCTATTATTACCAACAATAGATTCCTCTTGTCATTTCGTGAAATATGGACGAATATCCTCCTCCATTACAAAAAATATTTTCTTCTTGATATTTACACGTAAACGTCACTAATATTCCGATCTATTGCATCTATTACCTTCTACGTGACTATTTTTACTTAGATTCCATAATTAATTCTCTTTTCCACTTCTTTTTCTAGAATTTTTTTTTTTTAAATCGATGAGATACCTGAATATGAACTTTTTTACTTCGTGTCCGATTCAAACCCTTCCTTCTTCCTTTTTCTCCTGATAAATAACAACTCATTTTGACAAGAATAAAAAAATTCAAAAAAAATATGCTGTACATTATTAATATTAATATTCTTAATTTTTTAGCCAACAATGAAGAAGCGGAAGCGGCAAATACAGGTATACAATCATTTGATTTCGTAAATTTACCATTTTTTTTTTTAAATTTCATATCAAGATGGGGGGAACCGACTTTAATTGTCTACAATTTAAAGGGGCCGGTACAACTGCTCGTGAATATGTAAGGGTCTGCGATGTTCTGAAAAATAAATTTGCTATACCCCTTCCCTTATGTTATTCAAAAACTGTTTCATGAGTGGGTGCTCACGCAACCCGAGCCCTGTTGGATATCTCCCATCTTTTTAGTGCAGTTCATAATCGACCGAGCCGTATTGGATACTCTCATTCCTTGGAATGCAGTCGATAGTCGATCGATATTGTAAGTTACCTTTATAATCTTTTTAGTCTTGTCATATGAGTTGTATAATTGTAATAGTATAATTAAAAATAAATAAAGTTTACCATGATTTTTAAAAAAAATGTTTGTAATGTAATTATATAATTTTCTATGAAAAATTTTATTTATTCCTTTTAATTCATATTTGTTATCTAAATTATTGCGAAATAATTGTACACCCACAACATAGTTAAGACAAAGTCGTTTCGCTAGTTATAATTTAACTTCAAACATAAATTTACAATTGATGACCTAAATAATCGACGAATTGCACAATTAAAATAAAAAGTGGTGCGATAAAGTTACAGACTATAGGATATAGTTATAAAAGTCCTTTGCTAAACAATAATCGTCAAATCCAATAATACAGACACGAGCAATATTATTATAATAAGAACATTAATCCAATTTCATATCTAATCTATTGCAATTTCCAAAGTTCTAATTGGAATCAGCAATTTCAATTCTTGCTAGTAATTGAATGCTGTGACTTGTCTCTTTTCTTTTTCATGATCTTTAGCATTCTGCAAATATTGTACGTGCTTAATTCTTGTTGCTTTTTGTACCAATCTATTGATTTCTTTACATCCTTATCAGTTCCGATGCCATGTTCTTGACAATTTCCCAAATAAAGTTGTCCGCTAATGCTTCCATTTTCTTCGAATTCCTTATTAAATCAAATGCCTTCTCATTATTTCGAACAATTCCATATCAATCGATATAACATTTTGCAAGATAGACTTTGGCTATTGGAAAATTTCTTTTCTACTCTTCTAAAAACAATTTAAATGATTTCGTACTATGAACCGTGATATCGTAGTAGAATAATCCATGGAATCAAATATATTGTGTTTTGAGTTGGTTTTCCTGAGCCAATGTTAGAGATCATATATACATTTTTTTCAAAGAGAGTCTTGATTTAATAAAACCAATACCTTATCGTGTTTCTTGCTTATTTAATTGATTAACTTGTCAACAATTACAGTTATTGTTGAGGCGAATGAAATTGTCGATAACGTTTGGTTTGAAAAGATTAGCATCATCATGAGGCATTACGTTTTATACATCTAAACCACAAATATTCGAATCATTACTCTTAATGAAATGTCTTTAATTAATGTATTATTTCCATCAAAATCAAGTCTGACATCCACATCACTTCGTTCGGGACACATCATTACTTTAATATTTGAATGACGTTTCGCATATCTGGTCGTTCTTTGGTTACTTTTCCAACATTCTAATTGAATAAACAATCTTTTAGTCATTTTAATATCGTAATAATCAATATCACTTAGATCATTTACCTATAACAACAGGAGTTCCTTGAACGATATTTTCTCTCTTTCCAAATCCAATTTCTATTCTAAAATAGGGTCAATATCGAAATTTTCACGCGAAAAATGGTTGAAAACACCACTTGAACACCGCCATATTTAAATCTCCTATGTTATACAATCAGATTTCTTATTTGTATATAATTTGCGTTAGTAAAATGATTTGGGTTACAATAGGTTAAGGCATTACACCGAATATTTGTGATGCATCATTTGATACTTCTGCAATCTTTTTGATAACCAAAGCCGCCACCTTAAGAGTACAAGGACGTTACCTGCGTGCTTCAATTTAATAAAAGATGAAATAAAAATAAAAATACCAAATTACAATGGGATAATATCTTATCATATAAACATTTTACTGTACACTCCAATTGAAAGGATTGGTCATATTTTTCATTCCAATAATGTTCAGAAAACTTTCGCTCTAAATAATTTCCCAAATTATAAACAGCAAGCTCCATGACTAAGGAGTATTTGTTTAATTTGAACGAAATAAAAATTTTAGAAACAAAAAAAATAAAATGAAATAAATCTTTTAATTTAAAGAATTAATTTTCAAAGTATTCACCAATTTCCGTCTTTGGGATTCCATAATATTCTATAATGTTTTCATGATTCATTTGCCGGTGAATTTTAAAATATTGTTATACAAACAATCGCTTTAATCACTTGTCATTTTCCTCTTCGAAAAAGTTTTGCACATTCTCAAATATTTTGATTTGCACCATGTCGTCGAAATCCGAATACTCATAAAATTGACATCATCTCGTTCGATATCAAGAAAAAGAGAAAATGTGGACTAGTTTTTATAATTAAATTTTACGCCGTATCACCAAAATTTAAGGGCCAATTTCTAAATTTTTATTAAGGCGCAGAACATCAAATCATTTAAAACGATGTACTTTAAAGTGTTAAGTAATTTAAATGCTCACTTAATAAATATGAAAGATTTTATTATCGAGATATCACACACATGATCGGAGTTTTTGTTTCAAATTTCAAAAGGTCGATCACTACATTCATAAAAATGAGGATCTGCAAATAATCATAATTTTTAAATTGTACTCATTTTCTGAAAACGGGAATAATTACAATGAGCCCTTTGTCGTACAATAAATATTATACAGAATTTATTTCATGACCTTCTCGATAAACTATAAAGGCTTTCCTTGTCCTACGACTTAATATGATAAGTGTGGTAAGTAAACGCAGAAAGTTTACTTGTTGCTATTCAAATACTGACAAATTAGTTTTTTTTTATCTTGGCAAATCGTAAACAAAGCAAATAATAATGCCGTCCGACAATTAATGATGAAATAATGATTCGAAAAAGAAGGTATTTTCTCTGTCAGGTAATAGTTAATGAATATAAAATTGTTCGACCATACTTATGTTTATTTTATAAACAATTAACCAGTTAACAGCAGGCTTGGTCGGGCGTAAAAAACATCGTTCACTTTGGTCAAAAGTTGTCACGCCAATGCATATAATATACTACTATTATTATACATGAAGGACGTGATAATTAATGCGGCTATATAACGAATCAAATAGAAATTATGCGGTCCAACATTAATAGAACCGCCAAATTTTATTCATATATAAAGCTGTCAAAGGAAATTTTAAAAAAAAAAAAAAAAAAAAATTTTTTCAAAATGTCAAATGAAATTAATGAAACTAAAGAAACGGTAGAAAAAAGACTTAAAAAGCGTAATATTAAAAGAGCGAAGGTGCTCGGGGCATACTCTGAAGAGGTATATTATGTAAATAAACATTCAATGTGATTGAAATTTTTAAACTCTTTAAATTATCCTTATTAGGAAGATCGTCAACTTCTAAATTTATTTAGTCAATATTCAAATAAAATAAATAAATGGAGAATGTTTGGTGACAAATTAAAGCGAAATCATAAAAGTGTTCGCGAACGGTGAGAGATTTCTTCAAAATTTCTTATCATTGAATGCATGATTTCCCTTTTACATATTTTTTCTTATTACCAGATATGTTAATCATTTGGACCCAACGAGTTCGTATGTTTTCAAATTACTTTCTGCATAAAATCAATTTAATTTACATCCTCCTTTACATTTTAGTCGATAAGGATCCATTGACAGAAGATGAAAAGTTAAAAATTAACTCTCTTCAAGATGACCCATCTTATTATAAAAAATGGGCAAAAATAGCAGAAGAATTGTCAAAAGATAAGAAATTTAGAAGAACAGAATTACAAATTAAAAATTACTGGAATAGTAAAGCTCGAATCCAAGGTCGAAGTATGGAACGCATTCGTTCAAAGATGAGGGTGGATTATATTTACAAATAACATTACTTACACTTCAAGTCAAAGTTATGCTGGATCGTTTCTCATATTATAAATAGTTTTTCACTGATATAATATTTTGTTGTTACACTTCCGGCATATTAGAGAACTTGTGCAAATATCAACATTATATGTTTTTTAAATATCTTTCGAACATTATCCGTACTGTATTTTACCCAAAGTTTTGTCAATTCTTAATTGAATAAAGGATTGTAAATTCATAAATATAAAATCAGGAGGAAACATTGTCATAAGTTTGAAATGAGCTTTAATTGCAAGTTTCTAAAATATATTAAAAGATTGTAGTGAATATTTTTTACATCTAATTTTGCCTGGGCTGATTTGGCTCATATCACTAATAAAAACTTTGGCGATTCTGCTTATTTCGAAAAAAATTTGTTTTAAATTATTATTAAATTCGTGTTTTATTCGTGTTTTATTATCCAAAGCTTCAAAGTATATTGATATTATTCATTTTACCATTTTTCACTTTGGAAACTTATGTTTCTATATCGAATAAGTACTTTGAAATAACGCGTTTCAATATCCGAGACCTGATAATTATTTAGTTAAGATTGAGATTTTTGAACAAAGTCCTAGATGTGAAACTAAATTTTATTTAACATTCAAAAGTTACAATTAATTGGAAAAAATGGCTGATTTATACTACAAAATTCTGCAGAAGTTTTTACAAGTATGTAACTAATGCATTTATTATAAAACTTAACTTCAATTAGAATATTAATTTAGACGTCGTTTATTTGGATTAGATATAGAAGCTTTGCAAGTAAATTCACATTACAGATTATAATGGAAATTGTTCCCATAATATTCGTTTATTTTTACTATACAATAATAATTAATAAATGTATAAGGCTGCTGGAAATGAGTAAAAAGTAAATGATTATATAAGATGTAAGAATGGAAACGGCTCAAAAAGAGCGGCTTCCGATTATAAATTCAGCATTTCTGAATTTACCCGAGTTACAAACAATTTTGCCAATTTTAAAATCGAACCGGAATCTGGCTCAAAGAATTCAACTCGGCTCAATATTCATCAAAATATACGATAATCAGTCAAAAAAAAAAATGCTCTATTTGTATAAATTTAAATTGACGCACCTAGTCTTAATTTACTTTAGGAGAGCCGAAGAGGAACCGAGATAGAACCAGAGAACCGTCCTATTTGATGGTATCTAGTTTATTTTTTCTAATTTTAAATATAAATGACGTACTGTAAAATTAGTATAATGGAGAAAATTTTATGTGGTAACATAATCTCACGATGAATATTATGTCAAGAAATTGTTATTTCTTTTTTTTATTAGGCCACGTAAATATGCATTTTCGGTTCACGTAACATTAACATTTTAAAATTGACCACGGAAATCTGGCTTTATTAATAAAAAAATTTTATGTGGCTTTTAAGATATAATTAATTATAGTGAACATTTTCCATACTATAATGTATCAGTTCGAAGTAAACAAACAATAAAATGTTAATACCATAAATGTTCATATTGTTGCATTGGATATGTAAAAATGCATCAGGTGTAAGAGCTAAAATTTTATATCATTCCAAGATTTACATGTACATCTGCTTAAAGCTACATATTATTGGCCTCACGCGAACATTTGATTATTTAAATAAAGTGAGTCTGTGGTAATGTTATCGCTTGTGTTTTATGAACTGTTAAGGCAAAAGCATTTTGTAATGGAAATTGAATTTTACATGCTAGTATTCCATTAATATTGAAAAGTGCAGTTTCTTGTTCTATTTCAATATCAATAATTCCTTTGTTTATACAAAATGCTACTCTTACTATTTCTCTATTTTTGTCAATATCTGTAACAATACCTATGGTATCATTACTAATTTGTTTACTAATATATTTGTTGTTAAGAACAATTACTCGACATCCTATTTGCAATCTTATAAAAAATGGCAAGTTTGTTTTATATTTCATTAAGTATTCTGAACTTCCATGTTCTTGTACTTATCTATTAATGATATCCTTTGAATATGAAATTAAATATTTTTCATATTCAATTGGTAAAATATTACAAGTTTAAGTGTTAATTTGTTAAGCTGTTTCCTTATAACCTACAACATGAGTTGTATTTAATATATCTTCTAATGATGAATTATTTTAGTTTTTTTTTGGTATTTTTATTTAATAATTGCCATATTGATTCTAAAGTATTTCCAAATCTAATATTTTTTAATAGTGAATATATCATCTACTTGTCTTTTTAGTTGTCTTAAGAAATGTGGATATTATACTTATTCTTCCAAATGAATGTGAATTATTATGTAATTTATAAAATATATTTGAAAGATTGCTAAATATTTCAGATAAAACCATTGATATTTTATCAATTATAAGAATTTTTATCTTTTTAAGATTTTCTTTGAATGATTTATTATTAAATGCTAAATGTTTGAAAACTACCTTCTGTAACATGAATTTTTAAGGTTAAATGTATTGTATAATCTCCAATATTTTGTGTAGCAACACTAATTAGTATAAGTAGTAAGTAAGAATCATTTTTTTTAAAATTCTTATAATAAATAATGAGTAACATATGATTTTTCAGTTCCAGCAGTTCCTGTTATAAAAGAAGTACAGATAATGTTTTTCATCTAATAGACCTTAAGTTCTTATTATTCTTTTAATGCATTAATATTGATCATCTGGTAGTATTAATATTGTATTTAATATTATTATTAATAGTATAATTTTTATTTTCATTAATTGGTTATGAATTATTTCTTTAAATTTTAAATTTGTTAAATTCATTAGATTTTGTAAGAATATATGAATGAGTTCAAAAAATTGGTTATTAAAATTATTAGTTTCTTCTTAACATTTTTTCTTATATAAAATACACTCATTTTGATATATTTCTAAGAATCTATTTAGAAAATATTCTTGATATATTGTAAAATTTCCTTTTAATTCTTCTTTACTTCTAGATCTAAATCTTAATAATAACTATTGATGCTAGTCTTAAATGTCTTATTCTTATTATGAGTTTAGTTTTTCTTTTTATAATATAATTTTTAATTTCATCTTGAAATACTATTCTTAGAGTTGTTATTTTTGAAGGTGTAATATTATAATTTTCAAAATATTTTTGATATTATAATAATTCAAATTCGTCTTATTTTGGTTTGTTAAAATATTTTTTTTATTAAGTCTAAGTAAAATGTTGTATCATTATTCTCTAAATCCATTAACAATGAAATTAAAAGTATTGATTTTTATCTTATATTTAGAGGGTCTATAATTAAGTATTGAACTTTAATAGAAGAATTACAAATAATTTCTCTAAGAATTAAAAACATTAATTCTATTATTTCTAACTTGCAATCTTGAATGTATTATCTATATTTATCACCTTCTTAAATATTAAAAGTATGGATAGGTTTTCTTTTTGTAATATATTTAGTCATATATCTTGCAAATCCTTTTATTGTTACATATTGCAAATTCATATATATATTCCAAATATAAAGTATTAGTAATGATATGGTATAATCCATTTATCTTGTTTCTTTTTACATTTATAAACAAATCTTGAATTATTTGTATTTTCATATATATATTCTGAATATAGTTGTAAAAAATCTTTCATGCATGTTTCTCCAAAAGCAATTAATCTACCACATTTTGAATTACATGTATAAATTTGATGAGTTTTTACAAGAATATATAATTCTGTTTCTGTTTCTAAATCTAGTAAATTAGCTTTTATAATATTATCATTTATCATATCACTAATAGATTTTGTTATCCATAAGTATCTATGAATATGAACTGCATCACAATTTTGAAATTCAACACGTTCAAAAAATATAATATTTTTCCTCAATTTGTTAATTCTAAATATTTTCAAAGATTATTTTCATATTTCTTAAGTAGTATATAAAATGATACATACAATGAAATGATTAATTAATTGATAATATATCATAATTATTAGTATTTAATAAAATATTTTTTAAATGTTTTCATTTGCTTTCATTCATTGTTAATATTATAAATAATTAAGATAAACTGATATTATTTATCATTGCATTGATATGATATTCTTTTCTCAAAAATATGAGTCTCCTGTTCTGATAAAATTTGGTAATATAATAGTAATTTGTTCATTAATTATTAGTTTGTCAGTATAAAGCTTTTTTGAATTAAATCAATAGCACATGTAAGACTGTACGATTGAGATGCTTGATTTTGTTAAAAAATTCTTTGATTATTTTGATGATAACGATATTTTTCTAATTGTAAATAAGACTATGCAGGCTATATATAATATAATCTAAATCTTGAATCTTTTCTTTTAATTCATTCTTTAATATATTTTCTATAAGTTTCAATCTTTTAATTTAAAGCTAAACTTTGATTTATCAAATCTTGATATATTTCTTTAACATCTGGATATAGATCAGAAAATAATAATGCTTCTAAGTTAGAATTATTAAATAATATAGAAAGTGATAAATTATTATTTGTTCAAGCAAATCCTACTATAAACTGATTAAAATTTGCATATTAATTATATATTTCTATATAAAAATCATTATTAGATACTATAATTTCACCTGATCTTACTATAGAAATATTTTTTTTCTTCTAATAAATGAGTTGTTATTGAAAATGGTATATTAAGATTTTGATTTTATTTTTCAGATATATTTTAAATGATTTTAAATAAGGATTAATATTTTTTAACCAATTTGATCCTTGAATAAGAATGGAATGAAACAATAATTTTTATCAGTAGTAGTATTATTTGATTTAAGAAATGCTTCTAATATTCCAGAATATAAAATAAATAATTTAATATTTTTAGAATAATTCATAGTTTTATAATATTACTATATTTACTAAAAGGATTTGCTCCTAGTGTTCTATCATTGAAGAATGAAGATAAATAGGTGATAAGTATTTACGTTTGCTTAAGAGAATTGCTTGTATTTCAAGTAGAATAGAAATTAAATAAAAAGGAAATATTCATTTAGAATTATTTTTACATGTAAGACAAATAGTAATATGTGTAAAAGAATGTAGGTATAATAGAAGTTTTAATTTTGAAAATGCTTTTTTAAAGGAATATAAAATATCTCCTCTATATGATATCTATTTGGCTTTGTTAAGATATAGTAAATATTTACAATTTAAACATGAAAGACATGAAAACTATTTTAAAACAGTTTGTTGAAATGTTTTATATAAATATTGAAGTTTTTTTAATGATTTTTATGGTATTGTAATATTGAAAAAAGATTGTTAAATATTTACTCATTCTGAAAAATTAAGTGATTATGAATTACTTGAATTATTATCAAATTGTAATATAGATTCATAATCTTTAAGGTTATAATTATTTAATGTATAAACATTAAAGTTTAAGTTATTCATATTTGATAAATTTTTAAAAGATTCTTGTAAAATTTTTTTTAATTTAAAATAAATATTAATTTTTAGAGAAATATTAATGGTTTATATATGATTTTAAAATAATATTCTTATTTTGTATATTATTCATATTTATTTAATATTATTTTATTATATATCATTAAATATTTGTAATAAGTATTTATAATATTAAAATATTTGTAATACATTTATTGTATTGTCAATATTTTAATTGTTTATATTATTAATTAAGTAAACAATTTAAAGTTTATGTATATTGTTTATTTTTAATTTTAAATGATTAAAATAGTTGTTGAAATTTTATTTTATATAATAAAAAAAAAATTTGCTAATTTAAATCATTACTATTTAAAATATTTCTAATTTCTAAATTATATAGTTAAACTATTTAATTTTTGTCATTTTTATTATCAAGAAAATCATTTGTTAAATCAGATATTTTGCTATAAGTAATTTTTAATAGCTTGTCTTTACTATTAAATGTATTTATTTATTTTAGATTTTTGATTATATTTTCTTTTATTTGATTTTGAAATAGATGATTCTTTTTATAAAAAAAAGATTAATTAAAATTAAATATAATAAGTTTAATAATAAAAATAATAGATAAAAAAAGTCATACCTTTAGTATTATTATTAGAAATAACTTCTATTTTATTAGTTTCTTCTTCTTTATGATTATTAATAAATTCAGGTAAATTATTACTTATTTGAAACTGATTTTTATTATTTACCTTTTTAAAATCAGACAAATTTAACCATAGAATTTTACTGAGATCCTTTTTTCATAAAAGAGAAATTAATTGCATTATTAATATATACAATATAGTTAACTAAAACTGCAACTTCTTTATCATTTTTGATTAAATTTTCCATGATATTTATTTTATTATTGGAATTTCTGTATGATTTTTCTATTAAATTCTATTGCTTGCGATTTGAATATAATATTTTCACCTTTAACAATTAGAGCTAATAGTATAGTCGCATTTGAAAGTGATGTCCAATTTTGTATAGTATTATGATACACTAAATTTACATTATTTATACCTTCTTTTTTTTATTTTTAAATATTTTTCTCATAATTTCATAACCTAATAAACATATTATAAAGTTAAAAATAATGTCATATAGAATGAATTAACTTTTTAAGATAAGAGAAAATACTTGCACATATAGAAAATTTTAGCCCTGCACAAATAGCAAAAAAAAATTGATTCGTAATCCTACCACAATAAAAAGAATTATTAACAGATACAAGAAGACTGAGAAAACTAAAAATTTACCTAGATCAGGACGTCTACCTGCTCTCAATGATAATGAGAAAAATGCATTCATAAATAAAGTTACACAAGATTGATGCAAACCTTTACATGATGTTATTAATATATTAAATTTAAATTGCAGCCTTACAACTGCTAAAAGAGCATTACATGATATTGAAATTTATTCTCATATTACTGCAAATATATCTTTTATATCAGAAAAGCATGCATTAGTTTGTATTAATTAGTGTGAAAATATAAAGAAAAAATAGCTTATAATTATGCACAAGTTATTTTCTCAGATGAATCAAGTGTTGAGATTGACAAGCAGTCATGACAAATAAGAGTTTAGAGACACACAGGGAAAAGATTTAACACTGAATGCTTAACACCTACCTTTAAAAGTAATCAAAAATCAGTTATAGTTTGGGAATGTTTTGCAGGAGGGATAAAAGAACCATTAATTTTTTGTGATAAAAATAAAGAAGGAAATGAAAAATCAATTCAAATACTTACATTAGAATCCTAAATTCATATCTATATCTATTTAAACATACAGTTCATAAGTTAACAGAAAAGGCTGCAATT